AGCAAGTGGGGGAAAGACAGGCCAACCGACCATCCTGAATACCTCTAGTACAACTGGATAACGCAGTGTAAACCGCCGTGGTGGGCTATATATACATTAATTAGAGAGGTGTCCTCATTTCAGAGGTGTCCTTAGATAGGAGTTCCACTGTACTACAAACCCAGTAGTAGGGTCGAGCGCGATTCCACGTGGTTTCTTCATATCACTGCTGAACAGAACGGTTCTTTTGCTGCCGTCCAACTCTGCCACAGAGACAAGCGTCCTGGTGATGTCGGTCCAGTAAATCTTGTTCGAGATCCAGTCAACGGCAAGTCCGTCTGGTTTACATGACGACATGGGGGGGAAGGGAGGGCGAAGGAAGGAGAGATAAGCGATACACTACTTATTATACATCCATTATAGCTGATTTCTTCGTTGAACCCAAAAAAACACTAAACATTTTCAGGGGCAAATAATGGCAAATAATTTCTCGCAGATTTTACGAAGTTGTGGAACTATTCAACCATGCATGCCAACCGACCAATAATTCACGAAGATGTCCAAAGAATGGGACATTATGCGTCACACAAGAATGAAAATTAGGCAAACACACCGAACAGAAAGTTAGCTAACAAGTGTTGCGATTTTATCGTAAAAATCTTACGCGGGCTGGTCAGTCCAGTATCTATGACAATGGTGATGTTATCGACCTCAACACGATTGACGAGAGGTGCACACTTTATGACGGCTCCTTGATAGGTCAGATTCAGACCAGTAGAGACGCTTTAGGCTGGGGGAGAGGGAGGGAGAGAGAGGGAGGGAGAGGAGGAGATCGACAAAGGTTGATGAAGAGGCAGGGAATTTTTTAAAACGGGGGAAAAAGAGAGAAAAGTCAAAAAAAAGATGGGGGAACAGGGAGAAAAGACAAAAAAAGGAGAAAAGAGCAAAGAGAGAAAGGTAAAAAAAGATGGGGGAACAGGGAGGGAGAAAAGACAAAAAAGGAGAAAAGAGCAAAGAGAGAAAGGTAAAAAAAGATGGGGGAACAGGGAGAAAAGACAAAAAGGAGAAAAGAGCAAAGAGAGAAAGGTAAAAAAAGATGGGGGAACAGGGAGAAAAGACAAAAAAGGAGAAAAGAGCAAAGAGAGAAAGGTAAAAAAGATGGGGGAACAGGGAGAAAAGACAAAAAGGAGAAAAGAGCAAAGAGAGAAAGGTAAAAAAAGATGGGGGAACAGGGAGAAAAGACAAAAAAGGAGAAAAGAGCAAAGAGAGAAAGAGAAAAAGGATTCGCAGTAGGAGAGTACATGTGGAGCCACACCGAAAGTGGTAGTCGAAGGCGAAGGCCTGAGCAAGATCTCTTACGACCTTCCTTGCCGAGTGAGTGCCGTATTGGATGGAACTAACGCTCACTTTGTCCAGCAGAAGAAGGTATCCTCTGGGTCCTGTGGAAATGGTGTGATAAATATGTCACGTGGCATTCAACACGACACACAACTGACGGAAACGGAATGGAACCGGGACGAAAACGGAACGGAACGGAAACGGAAACGGGACGGATCGACAGCAAATGCCAAACTAAAAGAAATGGTACCTTCTCCATCTGGGGCTCAAGGAACCATTCTATATACCTGACTGCCACCTGTCCCCATAAATTAGCTATATTATGTGTATAGCTAGTATTATGTAGTGAGACCAGGTCAATGCACACCACAGTCATCATGTGGCTGAGAGCTCTCAGGGTACACCTCTCTCCTCATTGTTTGTTACAATGAGGAGAGACGTGACACACACAAGAGAAGAGAGAACGCACGCACACACAAGAGAAGAGAGAACGCACGCACACACAAGAGAAGAGAGAACGCACGCACACACAAGAGAAGAGAGAGCGCACGCACACACAAGAGAAGAGAGACCACATAAGAGAAGAGAGAGCGCACGCACACACAAGAGAAGAGAGACCACATAAGAGAAGAGAGAGCGCACGCACACACAAGAGAAGAGAGAACGTACGCACACACAAGAGAAGAGAGAGCGCACGCACACACAAGAGAAGAGAGAGCGCACGCACGTGCAAGAGAAGAGAGAGCGCACGCACACACAAGAGAAGAGAGAGCGCACGCACGTGCAAGAGAAGAGAGAGCGCACGCACACACAAGAGAAGAGAGAACGCACTCACACACAAGAGAAGAGAGAACGCACGCACACACAAGAGAAGAGAGAACGCACACACAAGAGAAGAGAGAGCACATAAGAGAAGAGAGAACGCACGCACACACAAGAGAAGAGAGACCACATAAGAGAAGAGAGAACGCACGCACACACAAGAGAAGAGAGACCACATAAGAGAAGAGAGAACGCACGCACACACAAGAGAAGAGAGAGGTAGAGAGGGGAACGCACCAGTTGGCTTGCAGCTGCCATCTTTCTGGAGGTGAAAACCGTCAACACACCGGCACTCGTAACTTCCAGGCTTATTGCAACACAGCTGGCTGCACTTACTGCGATCTTCACACTCGTTTATGTCTGTCGAAATACATCATTATTACATCATCTGTTATTTTAGGGAGCTATCAATGACATCATCAACACTCATAATTATGTATTTAACCACCTCGTCCATGCTAACGTACTGTAAGCCTACACCTAACGAGCAAGGGGGGCTGAAAACACGAGAAAAAATTGCACTATTTTTGCAGAAATGGCAAAACTACTACTTGTTGTTAATACTAACCAAGGCAACACTTTCTGTCATCGCCAAGGACGTATCCAGGGTAACAGGAACAGTGGTAGGCGTGGCTTGTATCATTGCAGTAGTGTTCGCAACCATGTGAGTCCCCGGTACACACAGTCCCACTTCCAGAACCTTAACGAGGGGGCGTGGTCATGATTACATCATCGTTACATCACTTTTTGTATTTGTTCTGACACACAGACAACAGCACCACACGTACAGCAACAGGGTCATTAAAACCAATGACATCATCATTACATCATGTGTCAAACTGACCTGACTCATTGCACCACATGGGGTGTTCGTCGGTCCCATCCTCACAATCTCGGCCCCCATCGCAGAGTTGACTGTCGCCAACGCATTCACCGTTGTGGCACTGGAAGAAACCACTGTGGCACGGGATGGGGACTGTGTTTCTGTCTAGAAGGGAGGGAGGGAGAGAAGGAGGGATGACAGGAGCACGAAAATGGCAGCAAAAGTAAGCAGGTGAAAATCGAGAGATAAGAAAGAGAGACGGTGAGAGAGATGGCGAAGAAGCATAGATAAAGAGCAAAGAAGGGTAGAGATCATGATCGAAAACAGATGATGAGAAAGTGAGAAGAATCGCAGTGAAAATCAGAGAGATCAGATAGAAAAGATAGAGATGAGAGAGAGTAGAGTGAACTCTGACCACAGCTGTATTCGTCGCTGCCGTCTTGACAGTCATGAGTTCCATCACACTGGGCCTGGTTTGGGACACACTGACCTCCGGTAACACATGGAAACTCCGTCTCTTCACACACGGAAACTGAGGGGGTGGGTGGGGAATTGAAACCGAATGCTTAAGTCCCCTAGGAAACTGAAACCGAATGTTCAAATCCCAAATTTTTAAGGTCATCAAAATTTTCCAGGAATGAAGTATTTCTTTCACAGGCACATTAATCGGACATCAACGTTTCTTCATTTCCCTATACATTCATAATCAGAACCAATTTGCTATTGTAGCACAGCATCTGGGGGGTGGGGGATTAGAACCTGAACATTTAAGACCCCAGGACCCGGAAACTGAAAGTTTAAATCTCCACTTGTAAGAAGATCGTCATCAATCCTTTGTGTGCGTGTGGCATTCAAACGATGCGTAACTCATTTTCGAAATATTTGGGTGAAAGTGTATATATATATACCTTTTCCAGGATCAGGTCACACAATTAACGATTGCCGAGCGCATTAGCGCGAGGCAACTACTCCGGGTTGTATTCTCGCGATATGCGTACGTACGTATGTACGTGTCGGTCACGCTTAAGAATGTCAATTAGTCACGCTAGGGAATGTCAATTAGTCACGCTTAGGAATGTCAACTTCCGTAATTCGTTGGAAGTTCCGCCGTGCGCACAGATTCGTAGGAAGTCTGGCTTCGCGCGCAGTCAGTAGAGCACGCGCACGAGCGGCCTCAGTCGGACTGTTTACCGCATGGCTGGCAGGCGCGATGCAAAATATGCGTGTGCGCATTCCTAGTAAAGGTATATATAAGCTTACTGCAGTTGACTTCGTCAGAGTGGGTCGCATCGAAACAGTCAATGTCTCCGTCACACAGCCAGTCTGTTGGTAGGCACTCGAGACCCACTGCGGTGTGGTGGCATTCAAATTCCTTTGTCAGGTCACACTCTCGTTTAGCTGGCGAGGGAGGGAGGGAGGGAGGGAGGAAATTGCGTAACAGTTAGCATGTTGGTCATTACTTCCTTTATTATGCAAAGCCATTTTATGGGGTGGGAAAACCCCAGCTCCCCCCACACCCACAACCTGAGTGTTATTCAAACTTACGACAGACTTCATCGGAGCCGCCTGGACAATCGTGGCTACCGTCACAGACGACGCTGGCCTTCACGCATCCTCCGCTGCTGCAGTTGACCATTCCGAACCTGTCACAGTCGTCATACCGATCTGCACGTGGGGTGGGAGAGGACAAATGCAACGATAACATGCAGCGTCACAAAGTACAGTACGTATTACTCCAGCTGATAAAAAACCTTGAAAAACGTGCAGGAGTGATGAGCGCATGCACAGAAAAGCGTGGAACAGTGAGCGCATGCACAGAACAGTGCCAACTGCTATGTCTCCAAAAATATTACTTCTGATATTGCTTCATTGATATTGCATTTTCATACATTTCTATAAAGTTGGAAAAAAGTGCGTTAAATAGAAGTCGCGAACGACGCAACTGCGCATACAGTACGTGCGCAATGGTGTTGGCGCTCGTTCTACGGGTGTTAGTTTGGCAACTTGTTGGGACAGAACGATTCCCACTCCTCTTCCACATGTTCTGGCATCATGTCAGATATATACAACATGAATTTAACCCTTTCCACGCCACTAATATACAAGCAGAAACCCATGTACAAAGTATTAACACCTGGTATTAAAACCTCCATATAAAATCCTGCTGCATATGGAGACAATGGACACATTTATGTGTCCTTGGCTGGTTAAGTGCTAAAAATGTTGCAAAAAACCCCATTCAACTAAACACCTGCCAAATGTCACAGAATTAGCTTCTGTGAGCGTGCTAACTGAAGAGCTTGCACATCAATTATCAGGATTTTGGGTCAGGTTGCTTCGTACCGCAGTTGAGAATCTCGTCGTGACCGTGGGGACAGTCGGGAATTCTGTCACATCTCCACGACTCCGAGATGAAGAGGCTGGTGTTCGGGCAACGGAAGAGATTCTCGTCGGCAACTGAGTAGGATAGGGAGAGTGAGAGAGACGCGAGTGAGAGGGGAAAGGGATTGTGCTGCCTGGTCAAACTGCAGCAAAGAAGACGTCATTATTACAATGCTGGGTGTCCCTTATAATTAGCAAGGGAAGAGCCGTATGCCATTCATTCTAATGTATTAGCATGGGGCAGAACCAAGCGTCCACTACAGAGGTGTCCTTTATTCAGAGGGTCCTTTTTCGGAGGTTTTACTGAGATAGCAGTTACCAGGATCCGAGGCAAGCAGTTGCTCATGCGGACCTCGCAATCATCGTCAAAGTCACATCTATAGCTACCATGGATACACCTCCCATTGGTACAGTTGAATTCACTGGCTTGGCACTCCCGCTGTGCTGTATGAGAGGGAGGGGGAGACGAGGAGAGCGGAGGGTATGGAGGACGGGAGAAGTGGGAGAGGGGAGGAGAGGAGAAGATGCCATACAATCAGTTCAAAGGCTAGTTCAGAGGAAGATACAATCAGCTACTATGGGAGGAAATCCATGGCTTCACAGCTATTGACATAGTATGAAACACTGGCAGGTTCCTTATATGGATCACAAAGTACCTAGCACGGTTTACTATAAGCCTAAGACTAGGTTTACAATAATTATGTAGCACGTTGCCCCT